ACTATTTGGCATAATGGCATGATTAGAGGTTCAATGAGACGTTGCTCCTGTTGTACTCACTAATAATCAAATGTATTTTTCCTTATTGGATTTTTGCACAGGTGAGTGAGTTCTTAATTCCGATTCCATAACAGAACTTTGTACATCTTGAAGTTATCAGATAATCGTCGGTTTCGCAATCTTATCAATACTTCCGTGTAAAGTACTATCATTCTTAAAATTTGATCAAATCTATCATGCAAGATAGAAGGTCATTGCTTTGGAGTATAAGGGTTGATGTGGAAGAAATTGACAGAGGGAATATCTCAGAACAGAAAAGACTGGATTACTTACCATCAGCAAAGCTGCGTGTGAAAACCTTAGTTTGCTCAAAAGAAGTGCATGGCACAGCTGACCAAAGCGCTATCGAGTCAGTCAACGCTGTTTAATGAATTGGGCCACATAGAATGAGGCAATGACAAAAGGAATAAAGGCTTGAATTGCCTAGGCTTCTCTGATCTCATTCTTATAAAGAATGTAATAAATGTGAGGCTCGGTAACCTCGGAGATGCGCACATCTGTTTGGTGTTCGAAATGAAGCTTTGTTGTTCGATGCATTTTAGAAGCTTTTGTCTGAGCACGGCTTTGTTGATTTCACATATTGGAGGACTATGGGTGTGTTGATACCCTAATCGATTTTTGAGTATCTTTTTGTTATTTTTTTCTTTTGAGAGCAGTCCCACAGTAAGCTATAAGTGAAGTTTGTTTCTGTTGTGCGCGCGTTATTTGTTGATAATGATAAACAGCTATTTATTATATGATCAATTGCATTACACAGTTAATAATAATAAATCATCTAAGTTGCATGTTGAGCATAGTAAATAAGTCGCGTGGACATTGACTTCACAATTACTGCACTCTTATTAAACATTTTGTAAATATTTTGATATAAACGGTGCCTTGTCACTATTTTTAAACGACATCTTTCTTCAATATCGTAATCAGGAGAGACATAAAAACATCGTTTAGGAATGTTTGTCACTTACAATGTCATAACATTATGCACTTCCAGATAGCCGTTTTTATCCAGTAGCTGCAGTTTTGTAACCACAAACGAGCAGAAGTGGTCAATACCCGTACGGGTTGATGTTCCCTTCACAAAGTTTTGCTATGGCATTGGAGTTGTTCTTCAATCAATAATTCAACATGTTTTCAATCGGTGTTCCACCTTCGTCATGCCCGGACATCGGCATACCTTCATTTCTCAGGGCATATAATCTACCAAGTTTGTGATCCTTACATTAATACATTTAAAGACATCTTTCTGCAATCTTTATTTCGATGCTCGTGAATTATGATGATGATTTTTTTTATACTTGAAGCACCACGCATTACTAAGGCCTAAACATGCTTTGGTACCTAAAGGCTATTGGGATACAGGGACGTATACTCCCATTGTTCATTTAAATGCAACAATAATAACATTTATTCGCCAAAATACAAAATTGGGCAAATAGATATGAGAAATCCACAGGAGGCGTAGATTATATCTTAGTAACTAACAAAAATGATATGTGTATGTCAAATATAGTTGAAAACTAAAAAGTAGGTGTATTTATATAATTTTGCAGTTTTAGTTTTCTGTATAATTATGTATAGTCATTCGCTGCAAAGTACAAACCCAGTCCCTTAATTTTCGTCTAATTTTGTTTCCAAATTGAAGTGTCTTTATTTTGTTTCGTCATGTTACCCTAAATCCCAATGTTTCCTTGACTTTCAGAATCTCGACATGGTTCACCGGATCACCGCATTTTTTAGGTCAACATAGATACCAATAGTAGGTATTTCTCTGTCGACATTAGAGTTAATTTCATCCATTACGGCAAAAATTGAGTCCGTAGTCGATTTCCCTTTTCTACATCCATTTTGGTCAGGACTTGTAATTTTGATTCTACCCAAACAATGTAATATCCTATTTGGTAATAGCCTTTTGAAAATTTTGGCTATATTCATGTTTCTATTCTGACACCTAATCAGGACAAAATTCAAGATTGGAAACACCTATTAATGGCATACGAAGGTGGATCGGCTAAATCGTAGCATATCATTCTTTAATCCCCAGCTTTGACACCATCTATAGCAGGACTTTTTTGGTTTTTAAGTGTACAGTTTCTTGCACCGCAATCGAACTAACGCTTTCTAAAAGGAATGAATTGATAAGTTGGATTTATGGAAATATTTTTCAATATTGGCTGATAAATTTTTTCCCAGATTAGTGAAAAAATGTATGAATGTATCAGATATTTGTTGTTGATCTGCTAATATTGTTCCATCATCATGTTTAACTTCACCAATACTTGGTCTCACTTGAATGTCTTTGTTAGTTAAGTGATCGGCAGCCGACCACAGTTTTTTTGGTATTTGGCATCTTGTATTTTTTAGATTAAACTCACAGAAATACACTGGAAGGTATAAAATTCTCCTAGATTATTCTAGTTTCATCCATCGGAATTCATAAAGAAGAATAGGATTGGCAAATTTTGATCTCTCAAACATATTCCAGTAATTGTATTGTAATTATTCACCAATCAAAATTAGTGGCTTTTGTTGTTTCTCTTATTTTCTCATGAATAAATTTGAGACTGCAAATTCTTCAACCAATTGCCTTCAAACTAGAGCAAATATTTGTTCATCTTTAAGTCACGTGTCACTGTACTGAAATAAACCAGTGGCCTTAAGCAATGTGTTAAAATTTTTGGGCGGATTGCTTCTCGCAAATTGTGTGGGCGGGCGTCCGGAACGCTTTTCGTCGCTCACTCGGCCCTCTGAGAACATTTTGTACCACCGATAAACGTTGCTTTTGTCCAAAGTTGCTTCGCCGTACGCAACAGTCAACATTTGGAATATGTCCGCGCACTTCAAGTTGTTTTTCACACAAAGTTTAATACAAATTCTTTGATCCATTTTTTGGAATAGACAAAAATCGGAGACAAGCTAAAACACGTCCACGCACAATAGCTGTCAAAACCTGACTGAACATTCAAAATGGTCGATATTTTCAACATAAGTGAGGGTCATGAGTATCAACATAACACCACAAAAAGATCGAAAATGGAACATACGTAGCCCGCGAAAATTCAAAATTTGCGATACTTTTAAGAAAACAGAATAAAAAAAAGAACACGAATTTATAGAAAATAGATTGTTCATCCATAATTCAAAATTAATATCCAACACTGAACAGGAATTCTGGGACCAATTATATTCTAGCAACAGTAGCAACAGTGTAGATAAAGCTACTGCCATATTCATCGAGAATATTGAAAGACCGGTACTAACAAAATAAAAGTAATAAAATCAGCCAATGAGAAGGATAGCGCTTATAAAATAATTAAATTAGCGCCAACAAACCATTGGACGTTACATTGAACATAAAAAATAAATGTTTAGGTCTTGCATAGGAAACTTTGAGGAAATGCCATAATGGTTAAAATGATGTCAGACGACTCTGGTCTACTATTAATGATATGACTAAGAAAATAAATAATTTATCTGAGCAATGTATTACTGAACTAAAAACAAATTTGGGTAAAATTATAAAGGACGCCCAAAAAGTCTGAAAATGCATTTATAAATTGTTTTACCATATAAGCAAAAATTTGACACATCAGTTTCTGAAAGATACACTCTTAATACAAGTTCTAAAAAGATCACTAAATTTATTTGTTCTAGACAAAGTGGAACCGCGTGATATATCTTTTCAATTATATCCTCAAAAAATTGCGAAAGTCCAGGATTTCACAGAAATAAAAGTTAGTGCCACACATAATTAATCTGTGACGATGACGCGTTACGACTTCTCCAGTGTTTTATTGTGAAACTTGTACGACAAACTGTGCTATTCGGTCGCTTCACGTTTTATTTTGAAATATTTACTAACGTTTTGGCCTTATTGGTGGTCTTTTTCAAAGTACAGCAAGGGCAACAGCGCAAAATATTTTAGGAGTTACACAGGGTGTTTTCAAAGTCGAGTCATTCATTTTAACGGTTTGTAGGACTCGTCAAAAGGAGCTAATATATCAAAAATCACCTATATAAAAGTTGCATAACAAAAGAAATAGTAAGAGGTTAAAAATTTAAAAAAGTAAGAATGTTATTACACAGATTTTTTGATATACTTAACCACTGTCGTGTCAAACCTTAGCATCTTTTGTTTGATACTCTTATCGTTATCTAAATACGGCAAACTTTTTGTGTTATTATATGGTTTTCAGTACGAGCTTTTGATTCGATCAGTCTTTTAATAGATACGCACACTTTCATTTGTCTGATTAAACAATGAACTAGTGGAAATCATATGGAGTGCCTACAAAATACAGCCGCAGAATGCAGGTTGTATGCGGAAAGGTTTTCTTTGAGAAATCACCCTGCCCTACGGATGTTTGTAAATTTAGTTATTAGACTTCTTAACACAGGATATTTGAAAGAACAACCAAGTGGTCACGCTGGAAGATCTGCTCAACCTGAAATGTTACAAATTGAGGGAGGCAAGAATATGTGGTTCCTATATGATGGGACTCTACCACATTTTATACGAGAAGTTCATGAACATCTAAGTAACAAGTTTTCGAATAGATGGATAGGGCGCAATGGACAATGGATTACTTGGCCTGCACGCTTCCCGGATATAACGCCTTGAGATGTTTTTCTTATTTGAAAGACTTGGTGTATTACGATGAAGCAGTAAATATTCTAGTACATCAACTTCCTTTGACGTGTGTTAAAATAAATGATTCAACTGTATTGGTAGTTAAATGCCGAAGGGATATGACACTTACGCTGAGCCACTGGGATAAGATCAAGTAGAAGTACTCGTATCACTTCTCATCGTTTTCCTTCTATTGACATTGCTATCTAAGATTGCTTATTATTAAGCAGTGAGTTATAGTACATAGATACTGAAGCAAAAAATAAATGACTTCACTATTTTGAATTCTCGGGCTTGAAATATAGGCCATAACCACAACAGTCCCTTGATTGGTGACTAATAAGTGCAATGCAATTTATTGCAAGATGACCTTCTGCTGTTTTTTTTCAAATCATCACCTTGTAAAAAATAACATCCTTATCGCGATCAAAAAACGCAAGCAGTGGGTTGGTTGTAATATATGTTTTCAATCAGATTGCTTAATGAACTATTGACATGGTTTAAATAATATGAGCTGTACATATAATGTCGATTATGTCAAAGATCATAATGAAGTGCAGCAGTCTGCCTGTGTATATGGTAAAAACAAGAGAAGATGGGATACGAAGTCTCGTGAAATGCAAGTGGATATAAAATGCAAAATTAAATAAAAAGTTGCTTAGTTCTGCCGGTGCATCGCGCTTCGTGCTAGTGATTTAATTTCGGACATTGGAATGAAGGTAAGCCGGATTTGAACATCATTAAATATATCCAGGTACGTTAGTATCAATGCATCAATTTTTGCATGCAATTTAAAACTTTAAAAATAGTCGCGCAATTTTGTTATCAAAGCGATCCAACTAAGGGGATATCAGAGAAATTGAACATGACCAAAGAATACGAAACAACTTGAAAAATTCAGCGGTTCAATTTTAGATTTTAGCGGTTGCATGATACCAATCAACAGCTTTAGGTTAATGACTTTTGTTGGGAAGGCATTAAATCAAATTACCTTTGTGGAAATAATGGGAGTATACATAATTTTAATAATAATTATTAGTCCGTTCTTATTGAATGAAAAGTTAATTAGATTTTTACATAGGACTAATATCCATAGAGAATGACATCGGCATTGGTCCAGAAAAAAGGATAGTACCTGCTTCAGCTTGGAGGAAAAACTGTATCAGGATTTTTTTGCAGTAACTGTAATGCCACTACAAATATAACGTTACACGAATTCCGAATTATTGAGTAATTATTGTAACATTCTTCATTTATGGTTTCAATCTTGCCATTAATTCTTCCATGTAGGGCAGATGACGGTTATACGTACAGCAAAAAATTAAATTAACTTGTTTAAATATAGGAATTAAATATTTTGTTATTTTTCAATATGTGATTTGTTTTTGACTGACCCATATTTCTATGTTTCAAAGAAATGTAAATTCTATTTGATATCAGATGTTCGTTTTCAAATGTGTACCCAAGTCATGAGTTATGAGCTTGATAGTGCAGATTTGTGATTCATAATCAGTACATTAGGGGCTGTTATTAATCTGAGTTGGCGTCCTTTTTTTTGTAAATTTACTGTGTGCACGTGTATCACAAATCAATCTTAACAATAAAAATACCTTTTGTCATTAACAGAAAAGTTCAAAATTCATGTCTTGTAAATGCAAAGTGGCGTGAAATAATTCATGAAAATAAAAGCTAGAAATAATATTCAACAGTGACTGGGGACGTCCGTTTTACAAAGAAAGAGTCTGAATTTCAACTGTTCCTTTTAAATTTGAGTGAAATTAGTAATTTGATAGTGACGTTGACTGCTTCAGGATTTAAATGTTGAACAAATATTCATCAGTTTCATAATCGATTTTCTGGAAAGGAATCTTCGAAAGAATGTCATAAATTGTGATCAAGACAGAAAGTTTAAATTTAACATAAGGTTACACTGATAAAGAGGGAGAAATATTAGCTCTGAAGTCATGAAAAGTAGTGGAAATGTCAAAATCAATGAGTTGTTTAGAAAATACCACCAATCTATACCATGCTTAAGGTGTAGCATTGATATCACCTAATAAAAGTAATTTACTTTACAATAAAATTTGATTTCTGGCAAAGATAAAACATTTCAAATTTCATTTTGAACAAACTTGTGTTGTGATTCGGGTATGGACTGGAAATGTGTAGTGCCAAGTCTGGTTAGATTCCTAGGAGCGATCAGTGACAAAGTTTATGCTTTACAGCTAGCGCCGAAGTTGGTTAAATTTGAATTGATGCTTATATTTTCGTAAATTGAGTCTATTTCAACGTAACTGTTGAACCTTCTATCTGTGTTGTGATTGTCTCGTTGGTTCATCTACATGTTGTTAAGGACACTGGAATGGTAGATGTTTATAGGAAATAATTTGGTAATGGTTCATCTACCTTGATAGCTAATTTCAAAGTATGATGTTGCAAAAAGAAATTGAATTGAAAATTATGTACTTAAAAATAATGAACAATCGATCTCAGCTCGTTTTCCAACCTTTTGCTTGAAAAAAAGCTAATGAGGCAGCCGAAACGTTAGTGCGAATTATGTTCTATCACTTTTGTGGCTTTCATACACCATTAACATGTTTTTACACACATTTTTGGAATATGAATGAAAAAAATTTCTGTAAGCACAACAATGCAACCTAATTTTCAAATCTGACATCACAAAGAAAGCTGAGTTCAGATAAGATTTAATTTTTTATAGAATCTTGCTAAGCTAATGATGATTGTTGGTTTCATCACTCTCAATCTTGGGTTCTCGCCCTAGATAGCAAGATGCTGTCAGTGTCCTGTTCCTATTTTTTCTATAATCCCAGCCCCAACAATAAAAACTGTTAGCAATACTGATAATAGTAACGTGACAAACAATATGTATAGTGCGCCATTTATGATAAGTATTAAAGATATGATCGGTGGTCATTATTTTACCACAACGTAACGACTATTTTGCTATATCACCTAAGTAAAGTAACAACAATATATATCTTGATAAAAAGTTATGCATTTTTTCTGATAAAATCCCTATCATACAGAAATAACGATATTTATCAAGTAATCCAAACAGTAAGAGCATAATTAGGAATTACAGGGGAATTTAAAAATGTTTGCATTCCGTAAGTTAAGAAATCGATATTTAGATTTCAGTTATATATTAGTTATGCATAATACTGAAAAATACCAATAGTTAGTTCTATAGGATATGGTAACAAAACCAATTATGCGATTTAATTGGAATGATTCGATGTATGTTTTTATATCCTGATGGTTGTTGTGATATGTATACGTAGTAAAATGTGACACTCACCTTTTAATTTATTGTTCAGGGCAAGAAGCAAGATGTACCAATACAACGTATGCTGACACAAAATTAGAAAACGTATTTTTTATTTTTTATTATGATGGAAAATCTCGTAATCAGAACAAAGAAATAAATTATGTTACATATTTGATTTGCAGCAATTACATAAATCATATTCAAAGTAACTACCTTCATCTGGAAAATAAACGTACCAAAGGTCCAGTAATGGGTTTGTTTCGCATTTCTTGCATTATATCTTCGAAACGAACCGGGTTTGAAAAAATTATTATGCGGCCAATCATATTGTATATATATGATAGTCTAAGAACTAATTCCAATATAATGCATAAGGTTAGAACGCAGCAAACAATAAAACTTCTAGTGTAATAGAACGACTTGGAATTCCATCTTAAAGACTTTAAACGAAAATATAGGAATGGTCAACATCTTATTCATTTAACTTCTGATGCACCTTTGATATCCAGTATTAAAGAGTGCCTTTTTAATTGGTTTTAGCTTAATAATAGCATAAATTTTGCCTATAAGAGACATTTTGTTACAGACTATGAAGGTCTTCGTTTTTCTATTAAGCAGTGCTACTGTGATAATGAGTAACTGTATAGATTTAGAATGCCCCATAGTGGCAACAAAGAATGGCTTAGTAGAAGGAACACAAGAATTTTCAGAGATGGGGAAAGTCTACTATGCTTTTAAAGGCATACCATTCGCAAAACCGCCCATTGGTGAAAGGAGGTTTAAGGTAATATTCACATACAATTGCTTATAGCTTTACTATCATTTGTGAATAAGTTACGATTGAAGAAAGAAGAAGTTAAACATACACAAATTTCTCTTTTTGACAAAAAAAGTTGATAACACTAGTTTTGAGTGAAAAACGGTCGCATTATAGATAGATAACCATAAAGTTAATTTTGCGCCAGCTTGTACATATGCATCAAATTCATCGACCCGAATTTCACAATTTTGCAGATTTACCCCGTTCAAAAAATAGACGGGGAGAGGGGACACTAAAGAAAAGCACCATATAATAATTATAAGGTAAATACGTTGCAATTGTATGTAACTCTAAAGCGCTATATTTCGAAAACTGTCTTCTTACGTGAAGTCCAAACTCGTTCTGCTTTACGTTGTGAGAGACAAAATATAGAAATTAACAGGTAGTTGAAAACTATAAGGCCTGTTACCCGACATGAAAAATGAGCTAAGTTTTGAAGACAAAATTTAAAATCGCTGTGATTTTTATTTGCAGCCTCCAGAAAGACCGGATAATTGGACGGATATTTACTTAGCCAAAGAAAATGCTGCACATTGCTTGCAGAAGAATTATTTATTCCGTCATCCAAAGGTAGAAGGATCAGAAGACTGCTTATATTTAAATGTGTACACCCCACAGGTATCTAAGTTCAGATTTGAATACAAACCACTAGGCAAAGTAATTTTATATACTGTGTGTCCCAGATTCGCTCCTATATACAGGGATCAAGACTCCTATTATACCTACAGCAAAGGTTAAATGGGGATATTTTAGGAGGAAGCTTTTTGCTAGTAAATCCCAAATGGTCAATTTGACAGCTGTTAAAATGTGACATTATTCGGATATTTTTCTAAGGCAACATGTCTGAATAAACTTTCATTTTTCTTATGATCGCCATACTGGATCTTTCGATTTTTGAAAAAAGCCTAAAATTTCCAGCGTAGTGATGTCTCACAAGTTCGTTAAAGATTGTAGGATCATCGAAACATCATCACACGTAATGTTATGTATTTTTTAAAGAGGTCATGATTTATTGTCAGAACGCATTTTTTTCATCTAAGTAACTAACTTTGACGATAAATAATTTAAAGTATTATTATTGTGTTCTAATAAGTAGTAGGTACGTTCTCTCTAATTAAAATCATAAATCTGACAAAAAAATTGCCAAAACCTGTTGAAAATGGCCGGTATTCCCTACTCAAATGAAGAAAAGTTTCACATGTTAGCACCGTATTTGCAGTCATAGAGAAACGCCGACATTACATCAGCAAGCTACTTGGAGATGTAACCCGAACGACGGCAACCTCAAAAAACCCAATTTAGAAAAAAAGTAGTTAATTTAATAAACCGTAGGATCTTCGAACAACCTAGAAGCGGATACAATATTGAAAATGAAAATCGGGACAAAAACATTTTACAAGCTGTCAACGAAATCCCTATTTTAGTGCATCAGTAAGAACTATAGAATGAGAAATTGGTGTATCAAAATCAACAGTACAGATAGTGTTGAATAAAAATAAGTACCGTTTATACAAACCTACAATAGTTCAAGGACTTAAAGAAACTGCTTTTTCAATGCGAAGTCTAATAAAAATCCCGATTTTGTAAATTATGTCAATTTGTAATAAGCACAAACATTCATCAGCTGTGGAAAACCCCCACAAAGTGGCAGACTAGATTTGTAATTAACGTTTGGTGTGGGGTCATTGTTAATTTAATCTAACTTACCTTTTTTTAATTGGGAACCTATTTAAAATTAGGTATTAATCATTTTAGAAAATCGACTTATATGACCATTTTTGTTTGACTACAACCTAAACGGACAGAGGTACCTAGAGCCAGGTTGTGCGGGCTTTACTAGATCTGGGGTCATATAAAGAATGAGGTCTATGAATTTGATCCTCCCGCGATTATAGAAATCCTGAGATAAAGAATTTTGAGCACAGTTAGCAACATTAACAGAAATACACTAGCAATGTTTAAAAATGTCTGGATGCAAATGGACATTATTTTGCAAATCTGTAAAATAATACACACTTACATAATGTAATTAGATTTTACATTACATCACAATGCTGTAAAATGCTTGTTTGTTCAAGTGTAAAATAAATTTACGACGATTTTTCTGACACACTCATGGTTGGAATTTGTCCAAAATATTTGACTTGTTGAGAAGTCGATATTAACGTTAATATTCTTTGGAACTTCAAGCCGTTCATGTGTTTTTTATGCCTTACTTATTATTGTTATTTTCTGATAAACAAATCATGGCCTCCTTAGAAAAAACCTTATACATAACATTACGTGTGTTGATATTTCGATGATACTCTAATCTTTTATGCACTTGTGAGACATCAGTAGACTGGAAATTTTACTCTTCAAAGATAAACAATCCAATATGGCGGCCATAAGGAAAATGAAAGGTTAGGCGGGTTGCTGGAAAGTAAAAGACGATTGAGACATGTCATACATGCTACCTTATTTTTCTTATTTTCCTCATTTAACCTTTGGTGTAGGTCCGGGATCCCTGTATAGAGAAGCGAATCTGGGACACACTGTATATTCGCTCTAGTTTCGCTAACATCTCTAAGCAGGCAGAACAATCAAATTTCAATTTTTATACTTCGAATGTTCTGACTTTATAATTTAGTTCTTCACCAATTTGAAAGTTGAAATACATGATGATTGTTCACCACGATATACCTAGAATTTCACGTAGAGCTTTTGGAGTTTGGAAAAAACTGGGTTGTGCCACGGTATGTATTACTTAAATATTTCCAGATCAGGCCTAGTATAAGAAGAGACAGCTCTAGCAAGAAGCCACTGCCTGTGATGGTTTTTATCCACTGGGGTGGATTCTTTTGTGGATATTCCGATTCGGATTACCTTGGTCCACAGTACTTCATGGATAAACGAGTTCTATTAGTTACATTTAACTACCGCCTTGGAGTATTGGGTAAGCACTTCAGTGAGCTTAAACTCAATCGCTGAATCTGCGTATATAGCCACAACATGCTGCATAACAGAACTTTGTCTAAATATTAGTCTAATCATATCCGACGAAAAATCTGTTGGTTTGTGACATAATTGTAATGTTTGGTTTTGTCGATGAAAGTTGTTCAGGGAGCATAAACATAGGTGCATAAATGAGTCCACCGGTTTTTGTGCGAAAACTTTTTACTCGACAATAATTAATGAGAAAATGGGTTTTTAGGGATTAAACCTAAAGTGTCCGCATGAATAGAAATATCCTTTAAATAAGATCTTCAGGTACTTAAAGGACTTGCAAAACGAGACTACACATAAAAAGATCCGTTTAGAAACCAAAAACTTAGAAATGCAGGATTTGGCGCTCTTTGATAATGCGACGATAGTATCACGCAGACATTTGAAATTCCTTAAATCTGTAGGTGTTGTACTTTTAAATAGCTTCAACAAAATTGAGGTTGTGCATTTATGGGGCAACATGCTAGGTTCGCTCAAAGGGCATTTTATATGAAAATTCAAGAATTTACCTCGACGATATGAATCACATCTATTTTGAATATTGATTTTATGCGGAAAACAAAAGGTTACATTTTTTCATTATGAACAAATTCATTTATTTATGAAGATTCGGACAGATGGGTTGCGGTATTATACTGTGTTTTTCTTTAATATCCCCTTCCCCTTTTATTCTTTGAACGGATCAATTCAAAAAATTAAAACTTGAGGTAATGAAATTGATGCGTGGATACCATATTTTAGAGTAAAATTGACAGATGAAAATGTCAAGATGGCCGCTGGGCGTCATCTTGGAAAAAAATTATACGAAAACGGGGGTCTTGTGGCACACCATTTTGAAGCTCCTGACGAGTACCTTATAACCCTGAAATATTAAGTCAATCCCTTTACCTACTAAAAATGGTGGTACATTTAATAATTACCTGAATACATTGTCGAGTTCAGTTTAGAAGATGCTGGACGCGTCGAACATTTCCATCCATAGTAACATCGATATTTCTATAAATATTTGTTATTCTCAGCCGTATATCCAATATTGAAGCAGGTTCAGTTCCATACACCTTTTGCTTCAAATAGCCCCATAAAAAAAGTCTAAAAATGTCAAATCTGGCGAGCGAGCTGGCCATTCCACAGGATTTCGACGGTCAATCCAACGACCGGGGAAATTTTTATCTAAATAATTCCTAACTTGTCTGTACTACTGTGGTGGAGCACCATCTTGCTGGAATACAATATCAGTATCGAATTCATTAAGTTTCGCTTCGACGATTTCGGTGATCCAAATACATTCACCCGGTTGAACTTTGTTCGATGAATAGAGGCCCCACAATGTGATTTCCCAATATCCCAGCCTAAACGTTAATATTTTGTGGATATTGAGTATGAGTTTCCCGGAAGACGTGAGGATTGGTGTCACTCCAATAACGACAATTTTGTCTATGCACATTACCGTTGAGAAAAAATATACATTCATCACTAAAGCAAGTAATTTTGATATAGGTAGGATGCCGTGCACTGGTTTCCATCATAGTCTCGCAGAATTCTGTTCTTCGATCAGGGTCATCTTCAGTTAGCTGATGTACCATTTGAATTTTGTATGGGTGATACTTATTCTTTTTCAAAAGTCTCCATACAGTAGAAGGATAAACCTCACATACATTCGCGATGGAGGAAATAGACTGTTGGAGATTTACCATGATCTCACCAATTATTTGAACTTGCTTTTATTCCGGGATGGTCGGATAATCTAGGGGCCCTTTGTTGTTTACACTACCAGTAGATGTAAATTTAGATACAAGTTCCCTTAAATATTTTTCATAGATAGGTCTATTCGGGAAACGATCATTAAAAATCCTTTCGGTCTCGTGAAAGTTAAGCGTCGTACCATAAATATAAATCGGTTCGATTTTTTCTTCCAATGGACGTGAATTGACCATTTTAAAAGTAGTTCAAACAGTATCTGGCACTAAAAGCGAAAACTAAATGAGAATATTTTAACTGTACAATGATGCTTGTTTTCGTACTGATATTCTTGTCACTGTCAACAAAAAATAACAAAACAAGTTTTTATCGCTGTTGCTGTGGATACTGAACCACTACTTTGTAGTAGGTAAAGGTATTGACTTTATATTCTAGGGTTATAAAATACTCGTCAGGAGCTTCAATATGATGTGCCACAAGACCCCCGTTTTCATATAATTTTTTTCCAAGATGGCGCCCAGCGGCCATCTTGACATTTTCATCTGTCAATTTTGCTCTAAAATATGGTATCCACGCATCAATTTCATTAACTCAAGTATTAATTTTTTGAATTGATCCGTTCAGAAAATCAAAGTGGAGGGGGACATTAAAGAAAAACACCGTATACATAGTATGAAATAAGTTATTGTACACATTTTACAACAAAGGGGATTTGTTTTCTGTTGGAAGGAAAAAATATGTTTTCAAAATTAATTCATACTTTTGTGTTGTTGTTGAATAACGAGTTTTCCGAAAAAAATGGGTGTACCTATTTTATGCGCTCATGTTTCAAATATCTCCCTGAACAACTGTCATTGATAAAACTATTATTTTGCTAATATGATTAGACTGTATGCCAAGCCCATGTCGCAATTGAAATTTGTGTTAGGCAAGTAGTCACTGGCGCAATTTTTCCCCGGCGAAAGTTCCGCAACATGTTCCCTATTTTAACATACTGTCACATGACGTGACAGATGTTTTGGAGTAAGCTTGTTGTAATGGAAATGTTAAATTGCCGAGCCCTTTACATGGTACGGACGTCACTCAAACTGTCGTGCTGCAAAAAGCGTGATGTAACGCCCGTCGATAGTGTAAACTGTTCCGTCTTCATCAATATAACGCTAAACGCGCTTTTTGCAGCGCGTGTACCAACAGTTAGTGCTATGGTGACAACGTTGACTTCAGAGCTACCGAAGATATATCAAACGATTAAAGTAACATCCGTGGGAGATCCGGCTCTTTTTGCAATTACTTATCGAATATATCGCTTTACTTATTACTTATATATTACTTATTTTAGGTTTTTTTAGTACAAATGATGACGCTTCTCCAGGTAACTATGGCTTAAAAGACCAAGTGATGGCTCTCCAGTGGGTCCAAGAGAACATTGAAAATTTCGGAGGGAACAAAGATAAAGTCACAATTTTTGGGCAGAGTGCTGGGGCTTCGAGTGTTCACTACCACATGCTAAGCCCACTTTCTAGAGGTGAGTTATCTACTGTCTGAAACGCAAAAAAACAGTTTTCGCAGTGTATCTTATTCTAATACCGGATGTGAAATAGCCTGATTTGGATAAAATCTAAGGTGCAGGCTAAACCTGTAGCGAGTGCGAGTCGACACCTCTTGACGCTGTAAACGGCAGTGCGCGTGACCTTCCGTAGCCGGTCGTTTACCGGCCGGCGACTGAAAATTGCACTGGCGAATTTGCGAGATTGTTGCTTCCGGTTTATCCATTCTGTGGCGTTAGTCCAGGAAATCAAGACAAATCTCTACCAAATCTATTTGATTTTCTTCTACTTTGCAGATCTGTTTCATCAAGGGATATCAGAAAGCGGAACTGCATTGGCCCTATGGGCACAACCGAATCCAGATAATCAGGCATTGATTGCCGTGGCTCAAGCTACCATTGTAGGATGTCCTGATCCCAAAAATAGCACGGCCGTGGTAGAATGCTTGCGAAAAGTTGATGGTGAAATATTGGTGGAAAGCGGTGACAAGTTCAAGGTATGATGAAATACAGTTTGTGAAAATCCAAATCAAGCATTATATTATACAGGGTGTCCCAGAAGTCGACGTCAAGCCGAAACCGGGTGATAGGCAAAGTCATAACAGCTATCAGAAAAATATTTAAAAAAATTTTATATATGTCAACTCCTGTTACTACAAATATTAACTTTTTTTGGATTTTATTTTTACAATGTAATGATGAATAATGCATCTTCAAACTGGTGTCTCAACCTTTCTGCCAACTTTTCTCGTTCAGGAAAAATTGCCACTTATTTCCCAACCAAGTATTCCAAAGTAAAACTTTGCTCAACTTTAACTGGCTGTACTGGAAAAAAATGTAATACGAGAGTTTGGCAAGTAACCTTAAAAGTTGGCGCATTTAATAAGGATTCCAAAATGGTATAACACTTAGAAGATTACTCGTTAACTTATGCACAATTTTTATTTGAAGAAAACCTGATGAAAATTTTTCAAAATTTCCTAATTAAACAGCGATTATGAAAACGCACAAGGACCCTTAAGGATAACTGTTTGCACAACAGTGGGCGTCAAAATGCTGCTGATGATGATTTACTTTTACAGCAAATGCTCAAACTGTTTTCCTTCAGCCGCAATACACGCTCGACATCTTCTTAAAAAAGATCGGGTTATTAAACGAGCGAATCCACGGTTATTAACAAACTCAGCTGCTTCCAATAGTCTTTGCCGTAACTCAGCTACATTTTGAATCGGCTTGAAATACATTTTTTCTTTTACAGTTCCCCAGTAAAAAAATCTAAAGGATTCAAATCGGGTGATCGGGCTGGCCACGGTATTGTACCAGACCGCCTTATCCATCTGCCTGGAAAGTTTTGATCGAGATACTCTCTCACTGAGAGTGCATAGTGCGCTGGGCAGCCATCATGCTGAAACGACATGTCCCTGTAAATACTCAGTGGCACATCCTCCAATAAATTTTCTAAATGATTTTGCAAAAAACCTAAATAAACCTCAGCAGTCAAAGTCTCTGGGAACTCAAACGGACCGATTATTTTACCATTTAAAATTTCTGTCCAATGGTTTATCTTGAAGCGATATTGAGATTTATCTTCTCTCATCAAATGTGGGTTTGCTACGTGCCACTCGTGTAAGTTATGCAGGTTCATGTACCCATCCTTCTTAAATGTGGTCTCATCTGACCATAAAATTTTTTCAATGAACCGTGGATCTTCCCTGTGTCTTTATAACATTGTGCGACAAAAAGCAACTCGGGGCTCATAATCCCGGGGCAGAAGAGCTTGAACACGCTGTACGTGGTATGGATGGAGCACGTTTTTTTGCAAGATTCTATGGGCTGTACTTTTGGGCACACCTGTTTTTAGTTCTATTGCACGCACTGAAGTACTCGGGTCTTCTTCGACAGCTCCTAGCACCACGTCTTCGTAAGGAAGGAAATATCTTCCCTCATCGTGTGATTGGTTTGGTAGTTGGCCCTCTGAAAACAGTAAGCGGTGCACATTTGTGAACACTCGATGATCTGGATGACGAGCTGCATTCGGGTACCTCTCACAGTAAAGTCTCGCTGCACAATCACACTAACAAAGATAGTCTAAGGAAAGCAAATGCTGTTTTGAAGAGCAATTAAACAGTCCAAATCCAAATCACAAGCGATCAACAGTCCAGTTCACGAATCCAAAATTAGTAACAGTACGAAATCAACAAGCACGAACATGTAAAGATACGCAGTAAACGAAGGAGTACTGATCGGTATCAAAGTGTGCAATAGCAAGTAAGTGATGTGCTTCATCACAGCGTGTTCAACCTCTCCTGCCCCGGGATTATGAGCCCCGAGTTGCTTTTTGTCGCACAATGTTAGAAAGACACAGGAAAGACCCACAGTTCTTTGAAAAAATTTTATGGTCGGATGAGACCACATTTAAGAAAGATGGGTACATGAACCTGCATAACTTAGACGAGTGGCACGTAGCAAACCCACATTTGATGAGAGAAGATAAATCTCAATATCGCTTCAAGATGAACCATTGGACAGGAATTTTAAATGGTAAAATAATCGGTCCGTTTGAGTTCCCAGAGACTTTGACTGCTGAAGTTTATTTGGATTTTTTGAAAAATCATGTACAAAATTTATCGGTGGACGTGACACTGAGTATTTACAGGGACATGTGATTTCAGCATGATGGCTGCCCAGCGCACTATGCACTCTCAGTGAGAGAGTATCTCGATCAAAACTTTCCAGGCAGATGGATAAGGCGGTCTGGTACAATACCGTGGCCAGCCCGATCACCTGATTTGAATCCTTTAGATTTTTTTACTGGGGAACTGTAAAAGAAACAGTGTATTTCAAGCCGATTCAAAATGTAGCTGAGCTACGGCAAAGACTATTGGAAGCAGCTGAGTTTGTTACTAACCGTGGATTCGCTCGTTTAATAACCCGATCTTTTTTAAGAAGATGTCGAGCGTGTATTGCGGCTGAAGGAAAACAGTTTGAGCATTTGCTGTAAAAGTAAATCATCATCAGCAGCATTTTGACGCCCACTGTTGTGCAAACAGTTATCCTTAAGGGTCCTTGTGCGTTTTCATAATCGCTGTTTAATTAGGAAATTTTGAAAAATTTTCATCAGTTTTTCTTCAAATAAAAATTGTGCATAAGTTAACGAGTAATCTTCTAAGTGTTATACCATTTTGGAATCCTTATTAAATGCGCCAACTTTTAAGGTTACTTGCCAAACTCTCGTAGTACATTTTTTTCCAGTACAGCCAGTTAAAGTTGAGCAAAGTTTTACTTTGGAATACTTGGTTGGGAAATAAGTGGCAATTTTTCCTGAACGAGAAAAGTTGGCAGAAAGGTTGAGACACCAGTTTGAAGATGCATTATTCATCATTACATTGTAAAAATGAAATCCAAAAAAAGTTAATATTTGTAGTAACAGGAGTTGACAGACTGCCGTAGGGTGTGAAATTTCTATATCTTTTTCAAACACCTATAATTTTCAAAACACATACATAAAATTTTTTTAAATATTTCTCTGATAGCTGTTATGACTTTGCCTATCACCCGGTTCCGGCTTGACGTCGACTTCTGGGACACCCTGTATATTCATGATTATTTATGTGTTAGATAGCTTTCTTTCAACTGAATCAATATGTTAAGCATACTTGGAAAATAGCGACTAAACTGCAATAAGAAAAAGTCCTACAATTATGGTTTCAATGAACTAACATTATTTTAGACTATACAGGGCGTTTCATATAGGTTGCGTTATTATTATATTGCATTTTTTGGATTTTTCATTTGAGGATAAGTTCGTTGAATGCGTGGATTATTCGCATATTTGTAATTTTTAGCTTACACACATTACCTACGAAAGATTCACAAATTATAGAAAGTGCTTTCGGAAGAAATTTCCTTTTTTGACGAGTAAACTTAGCAGAAATAGTGTTACCTAAAGACGACAAAACGATACGAAATTTGACATGAAGAATGTGTACGCCAACTGGTAATCTTGCAAGTGTCGGCATGCTACGTTGCAGGGAGGTTAGCTGGTCACGGTAAAGAAAGCAGTAGTCTCGTCAGGCTGGCAGTTGCTGTAAAAATGTTGATATTTAATTTCATACCGTGGAATGTCCTGATGAAAAACTATAAATGAATTACTATACTTTGTTTCAAAGCATAACTGACAGCTATCAAATTTGCACATATTAAAACACAAAAATACCTGATTTTAACACAACTATGTTTTCTCATTGTTACTTTTACAAAAAAATACTTCAGTCACTTTTATCTCAGACTGGAGAGACGTTCACATTTATATATTGTTGCATTAATATGCTGAATAAAGATACCTATTATCAAAATAACTATTGCATTACTTTGAATATTGCATTTCTGTATCCGAATCTTCAAACCAATGCGAGACGTATGACTTATATTTTACATTACTTCCAGACGATCTGAGCCGCGGGTTTAGGCTAGCACTGTGAATAAATGGTTATTGGGTTATTATATGTTAAAATACTGCTCGTATTATATATTATGATTTTGATTGCACATTTAATATTAATTTGTTCTTGCATTAAAGTGCTTAATAAAAAATATCCGTTACCAAAGTAACTGTTGTATTACTTCGAATATGGCGTTTCTTTCTCATAAACCAATTTCCTCCACACTAATGCAAAACAAATGACCTATATTTTACAGTATTTCCAAGCAGACCGAACTGCGGGTTTAGGATAATGTAATAAATAAATGAAATACGACCCACTAGATTCCTGGTTCGTAAATAGAGTGAAAGAAATTTTTCAGATCAATAAAATTATCGGGTATATTAGTTATTCTAGCACACACACATTGTTGTGGAATTTTTGACAAGATGGATAACAAAGATATTATACCACACCTAAATAAACTTATACAACCTTACTATAATGTTGACATGGCGTTTTTATGTAAGCTCTTGAATAAGAAAAAGCTGTGTTGCAGATGACATTGTTATAGTTTAAGGTTAAAATATGCCACGAGTTGTAAAACAAACACTATGCTTTATGTAAAATTAGAATTTCTAATACTGTTTCTGGGTATTTAAGCAAATACTTGTGAATATTGTCCATGGGGATGTAGTAGACTCGATCTGTTCGAGCTGTACATTGGCTAATCTATTCCATTTTTGTTTTCAATTGCAGACTTTTGCCATTGACCCACTAAATGTATATGGACCAGCAATAGAGAAGAAAACGGTAAAAAATCCGTATCCATTCATAACCGAGCATCCTATAAAATATATAAAATGCAAACAGTTCCATCAAGGTCCTTGGATTGTAGGAATCAATAACGAAGAGGGGTTACTGAGATCGGCAGGTTTGTATACAAGGTACTTAAATCACTTGAAAAGCATTTTGTTCTGATTCTGCCAATCTCTTTTTGTAGACAAAAGAATTACTAATACACAATGCATACAAAAATATCAGTGCTTGAAACGTCCGCAGTGGCGTGGAAACTGGTATGTTTTAATCCTGACTTCATTGAATAAAGCAATGAACTTATGGATAGAAAAGTTTACATGTTGTTTTTCCGCTCCTTCTCTGATCTACTCTATCCCATTTTGATTTGACATGTTATGAATCTAGTCCGTTTGACTTATCTTACCATGTACTTTCAGCATTGATAAGACAAAGCGAAACTAGAGAAGCCTTGAATAATAGCTTTGATAGTATCATGATGAATTTAATGGGGCTTATACTGAGCATTGACAAGGAAAAGATTCCAGGTGTTTGGTCAAAAATCAAAGACTTCTATTTGGAAGGAGGACATGAGATCGACGTCAGCAACTTTTATACCCTGAAAGGATTCACTGATGTGAGTATTTTGACATTTGAAACGATCTGACAGACTCAATGTTCTGACGACTTTGATCGATTATAGGGGAAACCGGAACTAGGCGAACACGCCGTTTTACAACCAGATCATGACTTGGCTATCGCGGAGGAGCGTATATATATTGGTTTGACTTTCGACCATGATTTGTAGGAGAACTTGCTTCCTAATTTGGCTACTTGACATAACAAAATGTGTTCTTTTCAATAAAAACATGGATGTTGTAAGAGCAGCATTGCACTTATACATAATTCGAAGTTTATACTATCTATATGACCGGATTAACGATACACGGTATATTTAACTGGTTTTCTCAGTAGTATAAATGGAGAGGAATAAATCCGTGGTTTTGGTAGAAAGCAATAAATCTCTTAAATAAGTGACTTTGGGTAAAGTGGGTAGGGCAAACTGAATGCGGTATTCACACGAATCCTTATCGTTCTTGTTAGTCACTTTGGGTGAAAATATTATATGAATACTAAATAAAAAGGATCCTAATCAGAAAATCTCACTGAATGTCTGCAAAACTGCGTGTTCATAAAACTAAGTACTGTAATGTATATTATCCGCGCTGGTATAGAGAATCTTCAGAATAAGAGAGCGTCCATGGTTGCTCTGTCTAATTTATATGATATTTTTTTATGAAAATAAGTTCTTAATCATTGGTGATATGTATTCACTTTACCCGAAGATTCAAAAAGGATAACACATCCTCACAAAAAAAGATCGAGATCTGTGAGACAGGCTATGATATTCCTATGTATTTTTCGACGCTGAATTGGAATCTGGGATCAGAAAAGTTCCTAGACGTCTAGAATTCAATCAAATTGAGTTTCATTTGCTAGATTCTGAAGCATATATTTTTCGACGCTTTATTCGAATTTGGGGTCAACGAAAATTTACATCCCAGAGAACAATATCCTGTCCACGCTATACAGCTCTCTGAAACTTTCTGCCTAACCAGTATTGCAGGGAGCGACCGTGGTTCAACTTGCTCAAGATTGAATTTTGCTCTCTGTTGGGAGAAAAAGAGAACGAAGCACTAGAAAGACTGCGTTTGGGGGAAAATGGCCGGAAGTCTTGTCCAGAAGCTACCCATATTTGTCAAATTCGACATACATTATTACCGTAAAAAGTCTGACTTTCACGTATATGTTTCTTATGAACTCGGTCCTTACATACGCTGGCATACCTATCGAATGAGTTTGTAACTGGAAAATTTTCGGTTTCGAAACATGACATACAGGGTTTGTCCGGAAAGTAATAGGACCCATTTTCTTTCGCCATGACTGTACTTCGGAGCGTACGCGCACCGACTGGATTCGGTAGAGGGCGTTGTCCCCGAGCACTTGGAGAGTCAGGACAGGCATTTTCGCGCGACGTGTTTCTGTGAGTGGTGCAAGCCGAAAATACAACGTTCGTTAGAGCAGAGGTACGCGATTAAATTCTGTGTGAAACTCGGTAAATCTGCGACAGAGACGTTTGATATGATCAAGCAGGCTTACCCAGGTGTTGTTTTAGCAAGAAGTGGTGTGTTTCGGTGGCACCAGGCTTTTTTGGAGGGCAGGGAAGAGGTCGCTGATAAAGACCGTGCTGGAAGACCTTTGACTTCGACAAACACCGATAATGTGACTCGTGTGCGTAAAGTTTTAAACTCAGACCGTCGACTAAGTATTCGTTTAATTGCCCAGATGTTAAATTTACCAAAATCTGTGGTTCATGACATTGTGGCACGGCATTTTAACATGCGCAAGGTGTGCGCGAAGATGGTCCCAAAAGTGCTCACTGGCGACCAGAAATTGCGGCGAGTGGAAGTGTGCCAAGAAAATTTGAACATGTGTGAAAGTGACCCCCAATTTTTGAATAACGTAATCACAGGTGACGAGTCGAGGATCTTTGAGTATGATCCCGAGACAAATAGGCAATCTTCCGAGTGGCACACGACGGCGTCTCCTCGCCCAAAAAAGGGAAGAATGAGCAAATCCAAAGTGAAAACGACGCTGATTGTCTTTTTTGACATCAAAGGCATCGTCCACCATGAATTTGTCCCTCCTGGACAAACCGTCAACGCCAAGTTACGTGAAAGTGCTCAGGAGATTCAAACGAAGGGTCAGTGGGGTCCGACAAGACATCGCAGCCGACTGGAAGTTGCAGCACGACAACGCCCTTCTCACACCGCCTTTCTTGTGAACAGCTACCTGACCAATGCCGGCATCCCAACGCTTCCGCAGCCGCCCTACAGCCCAGATGTGCCCCCCCGAACTTTTTTTTTGTTTCCTCGCCTAAAAAGGCCGATGAAAGGCAAGCATTATGAGACGACAGAAGGGATCCAAGCAGCATGCACCGCGGCTCTCAAGGCTATTTCGGAGAATGCCTTCCGTGACGCCTTCAATGCTTGGAAATCGCGCTACCAGCGCTGCGTCGATGCAGAAGGAGCCTATTGTGAAAGTTTTTAAAGAATTGTAACAAACCCTGTATGGTATTTCAATTATGACATGGAACGTATGCCTATGTAGAGAAACAAGCATCTTACAATTGGCTAGCCCGTGGGCATTTATACCCAGAAACCCCTTGAGAGCTAGTACTGGAACCTTATATATTTACCAAAAAAGCAGAAATCAGTAATACCGAATACAAGTCATATATCACGTAGAATCCTATACCCAGAATAAAGACCGCCTTCCAGAAATGGTAACTTCCCTTTGGTTATGACGATATTTACCTGATATGCTCCAACCAAAGTATACCAGCGTGAAGAAGCTGAGGAAAAAGTGAAATTAGGAACGCCACACGGACTCTGGCGAGAGAACACGTGTGCATGCAACATGCAACTGCGTTCGACAGTCAGAGACCGTCTACCACCTACGGACAATCACAACATCCATAGCCAAGAGAAAAATTTCTCTTGGGACGGGATTCGAACCCGCACAGCGCACGGCGACTGATCACGAGACCGAAGAGTCTACTACTGCGGTCACCGCTGCGGCCTAGTTTTAGGACCCAACCCCAGAGTTGAATTCTAGGCGTCTAGGAACTTTTTTGAACCTTGATTCAGGTTTATCGCCAAAAAATGTATAGGAATATCATGGCCTGTTTCACGGATCTCGACTTTTATTGCTTCCCACGCCTACTGGCGGGAAAGTATTGTAATCACGAAAATGTTCGAAAGCGGGATATTATGTTTTTGGATGTTATATGACATGTACGTCACGAAAAACCATGTCACTCATTTCCGTCGGTCTGTCGGTTTGTCCGCTAATGTTATAACAGCCCATAACTTGAGAACTACCTCTCGGATTTCGATGAAACTTTGTTACAGCGGCAGAGAAAAAGGCCTGAATTGAAAAAAGCTGACTGTGCTACCACGGTGCCACGTCTGCCCGCGTTAGGTATCGAGGAGAAGCGACGTTTCCAGATGCACTACGGGTAGAATGTCTAAGAACTTTTGTATGGACCTGTTTGACTGACTTTTTTCTCGAAGGATCTAGTTTGTGCTGAACATACGAGTATTTCTTTATGTACTGATAAGAGCGTTGCGTGGAAAGTGCAGCGTCATCGTACTCGCCGCAATTTGTTGTGCGTCGGCGTAACAAATTATTTTATTGTTACAGATGTACTCTGACCGCGCATTCAGCTACTCAGTCTATCAAGCGGCATTATTTCACAATTTTCAAGGACACGAAAATATGTGGTTTTATAACTTCAACTATTCCGGCCAATATTCTTATGCACAAGTTTGGGCTGCCACGGACGAAGATGTTGCTGGATTCTACTGGGGTAAGTTCGATAAATGCGTATTGAGGAAATACGAAACGTCTTACTTATCCCGTGGTTGTCACGCTGATAAATCTTGTTTAGCTGGATGTCAAATTAAGCGAGCTGACCGAAATGTTATTAAATTTTCAATGCAATGCCTGATAGTTTCATTTGGAGGCCAGCACAACATGAAAATTTAAAAGTTTTAATAGCATTGCATTTTTGACATAGAACCATGTTTGAGAAGATACAGTTGTGAATTTTCTGATTAAGTTGTTTAGTATAAATGATCTATCCATATATATCCAATAACAAAAGTACTTTATTTGGACCAATGGAATGAATCGCATCTTGTTCAAATGAAGGCAAGCCTGAACCTAGAAAGACAGATAACTTCCCGGGTTAATATAGATATAAACATGTAGTGATGACGTGATGAGTAGTCTCGGTAGACTAGTGTAACATTGGGGATGCTATTAATATTACACAAACACCCAGACAAGAAATTTTTTTCAGGGTTTCGCTAATGAATATCAAATACAGACTTAGAAATTTTGATGTTACCTTGATAAGCAGCACAAGAAATGGTCTGATCATGCTAATATAGCAAGGGTATTTAATATACAGGGTCCGCGAGAAAGAACGCATATTTTTTAAATGAGTAGTAAAGTTAAAATAAGTATGGGAAAAATATTTTATTATATCAAAAGACTCAGAAATACATGCCATTTTTTGAGTAAAACAGAATTTACGGCCATATAGCGCCCTTAAGCCGAAATGCAGGAATCAAGCCTCTCCCGAAATGAGCCCATTGCGACGGCCAGCATCCGTGCAGGAATTTGGGTTACTTCTCTTCTTATTTCCTCCTTCAAATCGACGAGGGTCCAAGGATTGCTTTTTTTGTTTATTGACGTATCCATGTAAATGAAAATGTGCTTCATCACTCATAAACAACGTCATGTCATTGTTATCCAACTGTTCAATCATGACCTGTGCGAAATTAACACGTTGTGCATAATCCCCTGGCAACAGTTGTTGACAAACTTGGATTTTGTAAGGACGGAAAACTAAATCCGACGTACAGAGGACGCGTAGATCCCTAGGGAACTGGCACGCAAACGGACGGACCGATTCGGGCTTTGCAGCGTGCCAACTCTCACTCTGTCTACGTTTTCAGGGGTTCTAAATGTACCGTTTCGGCCTGGCGGTTTTTTTTTCATCCTATTACCTGTTGTGTTGAATGCTTCCACCAATTGCAAAATGGTGTTACGGTCTGGTACTGTCCCTCGACGTGGAACACGAAAGTGAACGCGAAACTCACGTTGCGTACAGTGAACACACGATGCTCAACGTTCCAAACCATCTTGCCAACTGAAACGGCACTTCCCCCACTATCCGACACGCCCTTCCCCACCGACACGGGACCAGCCCACTCGATGTAGTACTCATTCGAAAAACATGTGTTCTTTCTGACGGACCCTGTATTTAAGGAATTTTCTACCTTGAAGCTTGCCAGCTATGTTTTGCACTTGCTCGCTGTCAAGAAGAAAATGTCTCTCTGCATCACGCAGCAGCTGTCTATTCACAGATACCCTGTGGTCTGGTTATGAAATTACCCTAAATTTATATGTACCTATGACTTTTAAGAATATAACCTTAAAACGGACTAGTCAGTTCATTACACACTTTTTGGAGCTCAAAATGAATGAAAGTAATCAAAATAACTGGTAAAGTTTTTCGTATTTTCAGGTGTCAGTCATAGCGATGAACTTCTATATTTGTTCCAAACACCAGCATTGTTTCCGCATTTAGAAAACCCGAACGACAAAATAATGGTCAACAACATGCTGAATCTGTGGACAAATTTTGCAAGAACTGGGTAAGTGGATGGAAACAACGACAAACATATAGCTACAATAAAATATAAAAATACTGGTACGAAAGCAAATAAAAAAATGACGTCAAGTAGGTTGACTCTGGACTTCCTACGCAATGCAAAAAGAGTTAGGCGCTTATTCTCCCTATTAGAAGGAGCTTTTGAACTAATGGATGAACGTGGTCGATTTCTTCTAAAATATCTCTTAAATTAGAGAAAAATTATAAGCCGGGCAGGTAATGTCCATATTGAATCAAGAAATTATTCATAAATCATCTGGTTTAGCTAAGAAAACATATATTTTCATTTTACCCGGGGCATAAAAAAGAAGGGTTTGCGGCGTAGTATCCATCATCTACTCTGTAGATAATATAACGAAATTGAAAACCAAGATAAATATCTGAGAAAGTTGAAAAAAAGGATATCAGTTGTTACTTAGGTGAAGATTTCAGCAATTCTTGAATTAACTTCCATTGTTGAGAATGGTGACAAAATAAGGAAAGGATCCTGCTGGCGATGTCTCTTCGAGTGGGTCCCTGTAAAATGTAGGGACGTTTTCCTATATAAGTATCGAGTTCATGTATTGTAACAGTCAAATTAGATCGTTGTTTTTGTCATTGCAGCAAAAAAGAATATTTAATAAATCCTGTGAATATATATGGTAAATTAAATGACAGAATGCTTATTCTGTAGCAAACATCGGAAAATTTAAATTCAGATGACTACCCTGAGAAATAATCTCTGTTTCCAAATGTTCATATGCTGGTTTTCCTGGCTTATCGCTACTGAATGGTTCCATGACTACGAAGTGAGAGATAACTCGAATACAACTTTTCCGGTAGGGCCTGTAGACTCTGTATGAGTGCTCTGCAATATATTAACAACGAAACATACATATATTCCATGCACACCTTTAACGTAAGTAGGACAATTGCAATTATTTATTTTCTAAATCAATTGCGCCTAGACACAGACAGTTTGCAAGCCCATAGCGGGAAGCTACATTATACGCCATTTCAATGGACATGGTGATGAATTATTAAAATATATCCTTTTTTCGAAATTACCTTTCTCAGATTATGAGTGACACTGCTGATTTCAATATAATGCCCAGCAACTGCTGTCATATCAATGTAGATATTGTATTAGGTCTGATCCATGGTCAAATTTGCGACCAGGTTACAAACCGTTTTTTTGATTGGTAGAATTTGTCGCAAATTTTGTGACCAAGATTAAATGAAAAAATAGGTTTTTATAGCTAAACGACAGGTCCTACTGGGACCATTTGGGGCCCTCAGCTAAAACCTGTAAAGGGGCCCTCTACCGCGGGTCTGGGGGTGTGGAAGATTTTGGAAAATTAGGTGATTTAAGACGCGTTTTTACGCCATTTTTGCACTTATAAAGGAGAAGAAATTCAGCTAGATTTTTATACTTTTATGGACTTTATTATTCATTAAAATAAGAAATTTACAGTATTTTTAGGATACCACAACACTACAAAACACATGCCGTATAACTGGCAATAATTACAATGGAGTTCAAAATGAAGTGCAGCATTTTATTCACACCAAAGTAGTATAATGAATTATGACAAAATCATTTGTGTAATAAAAATAATGAGAAACGGATTTTAGGCATTAGAAAAATAATACTAACATTTAAAAAAAAACGTGTAGAAGGAGCTTAACTTAACTGAGATGATTCGACATTCTACTCCCCTAGCCCCAAAGCAATACAGCTTCTTTGTGAGCAACTCACTTGTTAAAGCTACTTCATCTATGATTTTATTTTTGTCCAAATCATAAAATAAATCCCCCTCAACATTAATAAAAAGCAGACTGGACACAAAGTCTAAAGCCTAAAGACGACCAAAGTCGATTTTTGACTATTTTAGGTTTAGACAAAAATTGGTTCACAGATGACAAGGTGTGGTAAGAACAAATTATATGCAATATACATGTTGGTAAACAGTCCAGTATGAAACAGAACAGAAAAAGCACATCAAACACTGGAAACATTATCTATTTTCAGAGCAGTTAATGCCAGCATTTTCTTTTTCGTCACTACATCTGCTTCCGTAGTTCTCAGTGGATTCTCTTCCACTATGAAGCTACTGTATTGTTGTGCAAACTGTCGCAGCTCTATCAACAGCCGGCTTCTTTCAATTTTACACAGTTTATAAACACTGTACAGGCAATTTATTTCGAGACAAAATGCTTCGATCTGTCTGCGGCCAGCTTTACACCACAACAACGTAACTCAACTCTCAGCACCGTAGCTCGTATAAAGCTTTCGTATAAACAGCGAGATATAAACAGTTGTTGGACGTGTTCTACTTTTGAAAATGTAAACAAAACAATGCCGAGAACACAAAATAACTAACAACAAGACAAACACCTTTTTGTACGCTTTGTGGGGATCTCTTTGCGGCCCCCTCGGGCCGGGACCCTCCGCGATCGCGGACCTGCGGACCTCGCCAGTCTGGACGTGCTAAACCAGGTGATATATGTAATATTTCTTGATGTAATATGAGAATTATGGGCTCATCTTAAACAAATCGTATAATTTTTCTCTAGTTCGTGAGATATTTTGAGAGAAATCGTCTATATGTATTGGATCCAAGGCTTGAAAAATGCCTTACAATTTTTCTAGTTTGAGCCCTGGCGCTAATTTTGTGCCCCGTATTGTAAAATCAGGCCTTGGGGTTCTATATCTCCTTAGGGGAGTCCCAAGCGAGTATATACTTGTGGTATTATTTTCAAGATTCTATAAGCACCCAAGAGATTGCTGTGTCATTCTGGGACACCCTGACAGCTCGCGAGACAGCAGTTCAGCACAGTCGCGCGAGGCTTTTCGATTTTCCATGTGTGTACATATGCAATTCTGCATAATAGTTGGCTTGCTTCTGAATAAGATATCATTATCTATTAAAATTCCATATAAAAACCTTAGTCTTATTCTTTTCAGGGATCCAACACCAGTACGCAGTCAAAGGCGCTGGTTAAAGATGAGCCCAAAGGATAGTCCTACGAAGAATTTCAGATACCTGAATATACACGGCAGCCATAGAGAGAGTTGTCCACCAAAGTTCGAAATGCGAGAGGGCCTCAACAGGGATAGATATGCTTTCTGGGAAAATCTCCCACTGCATGAGAATATACCAGACCTTGACCAAGCAACATAGCATATCTATATAATGAATCTATATCTGAGTGTCTATCTTCTGCAGAACACCACTTTCCAGAAAAGTTTTCATCTGGTCTTAACTTATACTTACTGATGACCTACTGCGGAATAATAAAGGACGTTCCATAATTAGACGATATCTTATAAAAACTTATAATGGACTAAGCTGGGCCAATAAGTTCCCAAATGAACGAGAGAAGCTCAGCGCCATTGCTAATGTATTTGAATATGATGAGAGTCGCGTAAACGTTAACAGACGCGCCCTGTTACCGATCGAGTACGAAGAGTTATAATACTCTCTTCGATTTTGGTATTTGACTTATAGCGCATGAAGATTCATGCTGTGGTGGTTGCTGTAGGCACGGCGCTTGTATAATGAATGCGGTACCTCGACATCTTGACCGATGAGTGAAAATACCATTCGCAACCGTTGCATAGTGGTACAATGTAATGGCTCCCATCCACAATCTGCGATTACAAACGATTACACGCGAGCACGATCGTGTAGAGAGCATACTCGGCTGTACTCGCCGATCATCGTCTATGATCGCCTTCGACCCGTGAATTGTCGGATTGTCGAACGCGCATCAAAGGGAATCGCCGGATCGTCGTAGTAAGTAAGTGGTTGCAGCAACACACTCCACGTCCATATGACCAACTGCTACGGACACTTGTGTGAATACTTGCACGACGCTCGAGGCTATTATGAACGATCACACGATCAACGATCATCGCCGATAGTGGAGTGCAGGCATAAAGTGTTCGACACCATCTTCGGTCACTCAAAAATCGGCAGCGCAGGTCCTTTGCAAGTGCTGTAGATAGTTCCATAGTATTAGACTACTCGAAAAATGGAGTGACATGAGCTTGAGCAATCAGATACGATAGTGAATGACGGCCTTTAACGCGTTTAATTTGCAGCACAAGAATATCATTTTCCTGATACACCGAAATTAACATGATGCTAAATCCATAACGTTTCAGTATTTATATATCATGTCATTTATACTAACGTTAAATGTATCGTATTTTCCACTGTATGTGAGGTAGCTCAGGCGGATGGCATTTCCATAGCGCAAATACGTAAAGGCTGTCATTCGCAGTAATCTTAGATGACGTCACTCCATCTTTCAGGTGCTCTCTATTTATCTAGAATCATCTACGCCTGCTGTAAATCGAAGATGAGATTGATTTTTAATTGTTGGAAGTTCGGAAATTTGTTAATCCGATTTTTGAACTGCCTCCTCAGGCAGGTTGTTCTACAATCTCAACACCTTAGCGGTCGTACCGGCTAGTTCTGGATGTACGAGGTCCGACACGGTTAGAATGGTAAGACGAAGTTAGGCGGGTCATGTGAGCAGCCCTAGATTTTGCCCATAAGCTGAAATCGAAATGAACGGCTTCCTAGAAAAAATCGACAATCCATCGAAACCGGATGTGCGATTCTTGTTAGTCAAAGTACAGTACTGTATTTTGCAAGCACTAACTGTACCAGATTGTTGCGTCCCCAAGCAGCGTTAATCTTGAGATATCTCGTCAGATATCGTATTGATCGAACCGGAGAGGAGGTAGCTCAGATGTAATTGATATACTGTCGGAGCAAGACAGGTTGCGATTTTGGCATGGTGGAGAAATTGCGAATGGGAGCTTAAGGCGGTGGTCATACTGTCGAGACATGACGCCATCGTATTCGTTAATCAAATGCCGTGTCCATATCAACCGCATGAACAGTGCGTGGTCAAGGCCTCGTAACATGTCACTTCCAAAAGATGTTCATCATCCCGTATTCCTCGTCCATAAAGCTGCGTTCTCACGGAGCTTGGCATCTAGCGTGATTCTCGTATTCGTGAGGGAGGAGAGTTCACGACGAAAAACTTTCGATTTTTAGGCGTCGGCACTCCAGTTTAGAGCAAGACAGATGGTATTGTTGGTATCTGTCCTTAAACGTCTGTTAGAATGTGAAATGAAACTGATCTCCAAACATGCATAGCAAATTTATAAAATTTTCAGTGTTTTCATATTTTAGATCTTTTTGATAACGTATCATTAAATTTGTACTAAAAAATGCACGAATTTCAACCAGGAGCTCCATGTGGAGCTACAAGGAATTAACTGAATAGTGATCGTGTGAACCGCACATGACCATCGGCTGCATCACTTTACACGCTTGAATTAAGAGTCATAGGTAACACAGAGTTTGGAAGCATGTCACTCTGTCGCCTTTTGCCCAGTGAGAACGCAGCTTTACACATACCGCATTTGTAAATTGGAAGAAGTATTATTGGCCTAGTTTTCGCCATTCTGATGAAGAGACCTAATGTATGACCAGTGTATTACGGAATCGGAGGAGCAACAACTGGGACTATTGAAGCTGACATTAAGTCACATACACATGCAGTGTAATATAAAGAAGGCTTTATAAGTCAATTTTCTTGCTTTAAGTAGCTTTAATAAGACTATTTTAATTTTAAGTATTATCTCTTGTATATAATTGCCTGTACACGCTACAAAAATAAACATGATTGAAGATGTTTCATCTAGGTTTATTTAAAGACCTTTAACACCGTTTTCTGTATTCCAGATCCAGAACTCGATCCGCCGGGTAAAAAAACCTATATAATGTCAAAAGGAACCGACATAATTTCGCTTTTCAAGTTACGTAATATCCCTACCGGCTACTAGTTCAGTATCGTCAGCATAAGACAAACTTCGCAGCTGTTGGTACAAGTTCCTAGAGCGTGATGTGTGATTTCAACTTCAATTGTGTTGGTTGTTCTACTGGCTACATACTTTCAGGTGAAAAGGCGGAATATTTTCGTCTTTTAAAGTCTACATAAATCAATCAGCATGCCTAGTAATATCGTTTCATTTACCAAAAAACTCCCAATGTATAAATACTCGTATATTATATTGAATCACTTCAAAGAATACGAAAAATCAATTATCAATATTTTTCCGAGGATACAACCTGAAGTGAACATATTGACATATAAAGATGGCATCTGATATAATACAGAGATACCCGAGACATGGCTTAATTGCTGTTGCTTTACAGTTCTCTCTACTGCATGTCGACGACTTCATTGAATATTCATTCATTTGACCCGAGGATGATCTTCATCGGTCAAACGACAGTCAGCACCAAGAATGCGAAAACATAACGTATCCATGCTGGCAATGTGTATTCTGCAGTAAGTAAGTAACTGTACGGCTTCTCTCAGTAATTGGAAGACCTTATTTTCGAAATGACAATTTCTGTGCTACAATTGAGAGGACATAACTTTGGCGAATAGACAGTAAAACACCCTTAAGATGAACTGAAAGTCAGTAATTCATTCCATTTGGCTTTTCACACTGTCTATAGCTTTTAACCGGCAAATCGACGCTCAAGTCTCGTGGACCATTTTCCTGACTTTCTTCATTTCACGTTAAACAGGAGTAGTATTAAGATACCATTAAAGACCGACATTATACTCTCGCCGTACGATTCGATCTTTCATGACTTTAATGACTATAATCCTCTAAATAGTAAGTGCACACATTGGTGACTCATTTCTTTGTAAAATTGCTCGATAGTATTCTAAGTTCAAGTCTTATTTCACTGCACGAACCTACAAACAGATAGACCGATTTTAAAGCTGGTCAGTAAAGGGATCTTGTCTGTTGGACAGCAAATGTGTGAAAATAATGGTTAGTAAGCTTCACAGTGATACTATATCCTTGATTTTATTAGATGTTCATTCTATTGGGCCTGTTTTGATTTTATATTTGTTTACTCATATTGTTTGTTATCTTTGTACATTGAGTGAATAAATATTATTATTATTATTATTATTATATTACCATGCTCATACCGTCCTGATGTTTAAAATCTCCTGACCTGTAATATACGGTGATTGAAAAAGCAATGGCGATATTTGTAGAGAAATTACCCAAATAGTCCCAATTAAATAAATGAAATAATGTCTATATTTGTTTCTTTTGCTACAGTCTGCATGAGGTCGTGAGCTGCCCTCCCCATATTCATGTTAGCCTGTAAAAACTCCGACGTCATTAACGCTGTTTATAGTATTCCTTCTATGTCTGTCTCTTTTCCTTTCTTCCTATGTCCTATCTGCGTGAGGACGGAGTATTGCTCCTAAAAAAACTTGTGGACGCATTTGTAAAATATTCGCAATTATACAAGGTGTTCCAATTTTAATCAACATATCAAAGATGTTTGTTTTTTCAATGAAATGCCCCGTTTGTCAATACATATTCGAATCATCTGTTTTTTCAAAGAGGCCAAAACTTGAAATGTCTGCTATCTTGACTTTACAGACTATGACTTACAAGAATCGGGTAATCCATCAAAACTAGATGTTTCGAAATACCCAGTCGCCAACATTCGGTTAGGAATTATTTGTTTCTAATTATTTCAGAAATAAAAAAATTTATTCTGTAATTCACTTGTCAGTGAATTTGGGTAGTATTTTCCAATGCAGATGGTATGTCTACGTTACATAAATCTCAATTAAAGTTAAGAATAATACTGAAGCTTACTATGCTTAACGAAACGATTATAAAATCGTCTCATTATATGTGGTAATGCTACGCCAGCGTTTTCTATTTTATTTCTATTCGCACTTATTTGGTGATCTAGACCATATCACATCATATCGCGTATTTAAATACCCACGTGTTATTATAGTTTTACCAGGTACTAATAATATCGCATTGATGAGCGATACCATATATTAATTTAGAAGACCTTGGTGGCTTTTCTAAAGTTTAAGATTGGCAATGCTACATCTTTAGCTTGATTTGGCAGCCAGCAGGTCATTCAGATAAACTTCTTAGATTTTTGCACCCGTAATGGCACAACTATGATACTTTTTTGAAAGAGTGATCTTAAAGTTAAAAACGATTACTCTTGTTTGATATCGTTAAGATTTGTTTTTGAAACAAATCAATCCTGTTTAAGGGCGTTTCTGCCAGTCTGGGTGCTGGATCCATTATGCTGGTCCACAATTTTAAAAATACATTAATTCTTATAATAGTAGTAGTAACCACTACCCAGAAAAGCCCCAGATAGCTTAATCAATATTTTTGTTGAACATTCTGGGAATTGAAACAAGAATGTAATGAGTTAGGCTCCCACGGGGCAGCAAGACGACAGCGTAGCACGCTTTTGATTTTGTTTTCGTGACTGTCGGCTGGAATGGGGAGTGGAAAGTGGACTAGCGAGGGTCGTGGGCGGTTCTGTTGATTTGATATCGGAGTTATGGACTCATCTTACACAAATCGTATAATTTTTCTCTAGTTTGAGAGACATTTTATAAGGAATCGACTGTATTCATCAGATCTATTATTACAAAAACGCATCCTGATTGGTCGAAGTTTGCGCCATAGATAGTCGAACCTGAAGGACCTTGATGGAAATCGGATTTTCTCAAATAACTTTTGAACGACACTGTACAATTCAACAAAATTTTAACAGCTTAGTAAACAAGTGGGGTCTCATTTGTTGCTGTCCTTAAAAAATAATCAGCCAACGTAATATTGTTGACGTTCTTACACGCTGTATAATGATAACTCAAACATAATATTTTTGCAAAGCTTCAGCTGGAAAAAATGTCATCTGGTTTGATTTGGATAGATTGAGCCTTTTCAGTATTATTCCTATCGATTTACATTGAAGACCTAAAAATATAAAATTTGGTTGAGTGATCTGAAAATGAATACATATATACCCTTGGTTTTTTCAGGACGTTGATCACAAACCTGTTATCAGATTAACTTTGTTTTAACCTTCCAACTAGTTCTGAACTGAATAGAGCATGCGCAGATTGAAATTATCGTTCCTACAGAAAATGGAACTGACACCGCAACTGGAAGTCCTCTGTTCCAACAAATTCCATACTTATTTCGAGCTGGTTCTAAAAGTTCGAATTTGTGAGCGTATGCGTGGTTACAAAATAAATGGTGTCGATCAGCTGTCCACAGCTGGGTAGCCAAGTATTTTGGCTACCATTTTATGAATTTTCTAATGTTTCAGTCTTTCCGTGCCTTTTATTACACATATTCAAGAAATCGGTGGCGAGAAAAATTACTTTGGAACAGATTCAAGTGAAGATCTTTCTCTGATTATAGAAGTTCCAAGAAGCAGAAGTGAAAATTACATAAGCAAGTGTAGATAATTTTAAAGAATTTGTGTCAATAATGTTATTAGTAACATTCATTTTTTATATTTTTGTCACTTCAAATCAATCATTATCTCAAGTTGATTAATAGCTCAGCTCTGAAAAAGGCATTAATCTCTTGTTAAATCTGCCATCCAAATCGAATTTTTCAGAAAGATTCATTGTACGATAAAAACATTAATTCCTTCAAATTCCAGATCTAACACGGAAACATGATAATTTTAAATTTTACTTCATTAAGGTTATGTTTACGACAACACGTCATTTAATCACCTGTTCTAACAGAATAATTTGGAACTGGTCCTGAACTATGCTTACCATGGCCATGCTTAGAAAAACAGTTCAGAATTGGTGATGAACTAGTTCGGAACTGCTTGTTGGAACAAACTTTTCAAAAAGGCGGAATCACTACCAAAATCAATGAAAACAGAACTATAAAAGATCGTTTTTCTCAGAAATACTTCACCTAATAAAAATAAAACATCAATATATTTTTTCAGCTACAGCACTAGGCTTTACAAGAATATTATTTCTGAGTCATCTCAGGAAAAATATGTCATCAATACTGGCTTAGGGCTAGTCCGTACCTGGCGATCAGAATGAGTTATTAGTTTTAGTTGGACACAAACAAGTAAAGCCCGAACTGATTACTAAGTTTGTTAAATATTTGTCGTATACAGTGTCGTTCAAAACATATTTAAGAAAAACTGATTCCCAGTAGTTTTTTCGTATTACATAATGATAGTGTTTCATTTTTTTTTGCAGCCTATATACACAGGAGATGTTGTTGTGCTACTCTGGCACACACTGTGTATTTAATGCTGTCCAGAGCAGGAAGAAGGCTATCCGACTAATCGGTGACACTTCCTTAACAGTTTTAATTCTTCCTTATCTCAATTCTGTAGAGTCCATCTTCGCGGCTGCTCCGGTATAAAACAAATAATGAATGATCTATGTTCCAGACTGTGAGGTTGCGGCACAATCGTGGCAATAAGCGCCGAAGTGTTTTCCCCACATCCACATGTGGTTACTGGGGTGTGACAACCAGACTCTCAAATTCAGTCTTTCGACAGAAAATGTCTTAGTATCTGCATTGTTTTTGTGCTTGGCTGCAGCAAGACCACGTGATAGCGACTTTCCTTTCGCGAGTTTGCGTGCTTTCTGTTTATTTTGCGTTTAAGCTCTTTAACCTAAGAGGACTATGGGGAACTGTTAGGTAAGGAAATCATATTTCATATTTTTACTATTATAATCCAGCGGGTTATTCAAGTCACTGTAATGAAATGTAAAAACTTTCTACAGCATCTTGACCTGAGGATATCCAAACGTTGAATATATAATTTGATTGGGTGATTAAGAAAAACGTGGGAATATTTCTAGGGTAGAAAGTACATCTACAAATGACAAATGTAGTTCCCACTAACATATGCCCTAAAATGTCCTGTAGACCT